AAAATCTGTGAAGGACTTTATAAGTGAAGGATGATAACTTAGGTTCATAGTTACTCAGTTTGTTAAGTTTATTTATCTTCTTCCAATCATTTTGATTGAGTGACAAATTCAGATCTTTATTCCATCCTTCTATATATTTTGAATTCTTTTCTAAATTCTGAACAAATTCCCAGTATATTATTTTACTAATCTTTGACTGAGTAAGGAACTTTTGTACGTGTGCTTTATTTCTTTCATAATCAGTGATATTCTGATTATTCTCCATGACGTCTCTTAGCCAAGATTTTGGAATAGTGTTTTTTAGACTCAAATGGTTAATATTACTGTGGAATTTGTCATTGAATTCTAAAAGCGTTAGAAGTCTTTTTGAATTATGAAATACATCTTGTAGTACAATTACTTCATTGTTAACCTTTGTGTTTTGCAGTATATATTGAACATTTTGATTTTTGGTATGTTTCCCCCATGTATTACACATAGCTTGTCCAGCTCTCAGTTTAGTATTATGTTCAGCTTCTTTTTCTTTCTGTTGTGTGTAAATTTTCAGAACATGAACAAAATCTCTCCAGAAATTATTCGAAATTTTTTCCTCAATTTTTTGAATTGATTTTGAATCATACATAAAAAGCTCGTTTCTTGATCTTACATTGATGATTTTTAAAGCAGTTTCTTGCCAAGAGCCATCTCTAAGAAGTTTTTGCATCCATGTAAGTTTGAGGGATTGTTCAAAGAGCGTTGGTTCAATCATTCTCAAACCTCCATCTTCAACATTTTGAACTAATTGTGAGAAGCTTACTTTTGCTACTGTGGAATTCCATATAAAAGAAGTAAACAGTTGTTTTATTCTTTTATGATTTGCACATGACAATTTGGGTAACACTAGAAATAAATGTACTACTTAAGGCAAAACAAATGATTTAAGAACCGTTATTTTTCCTTAAAAAATATCTCCAAAATTGAATTTTTTTAGACATTTTTCCAAGTAGACCCATTCGATACTGTCGAAGGCTTTCTCAAAATCTGCTAAAAGTAAAAGACCCTTTTGCTCGTTTCTATTATCATAGTCCATAACGTCATACACAAGTCTTGTATTTTCAGCCATCTCTCGACCCGTTAAATATGCTTTCTGTTCCACGGAAATTATATGTGGCAAAACTGATTTCATCCTTGTTGCTAAAGCTGATGAGAGAAGTTTATAGTCCGCATTCAATAAAGATATCGGTCGCCAGTTCTTAAAGTATTTTCTAATTTTGTTTAATTTTGGTAAACAAGTAATAACGCCTTGCTTCTGTGTGATTGATAGTTCACCTAAAGTATAAGCCGCGTTTAGAGATTTGAGTAGGTACTTACCAATATCCCTATAGAAGAATTTATAAAAGTCTACAGAAAAGCCGTCTGATCCAGGGGATTTACCATTTTTTGCATTTTTTAATTCAAAGATTAATTCTTTTTCCGTTAAAATACCCTCACAAGACTGTTTTTGTTCTTCGTTTAGTGATTTGATATTATTATCATTAAGGAAAAGGTCTATATTTTCATCAGCACAATTTACTTTGCTGCTGTAAAGGAGTTCATAAAATTTTTTCTGTTCCAGAAGTATTTTTTTTGGATCAGTAATAAGTTCTCCATCTACCTCTACTTGGCATATAAGTTTATTTAGAAAATTTCGCTTTTCGAGACTACTAAAATATTTCGTAGCTCTTTCTCCTGATTCGTACCACTCGACTCGGGCCCTTGTCATAAGACCTTTTACATAAATATCTCTATATTCTTTAATTTCTTGTTTGACGCTATCCAAATTTTCATATCTTTTTTCTAAAATGGTTCTCTGATCGTCATCCTGAGCATCACCTGAATTAATAATATTTTCTATTTCCCTTTCTATAACCAAGACCTTATTTTCAAGATCACGTTGAACTTTTTCTCTTAATTTTTTCTTCCGATGAATATTTAATAGTTTGACTTCTTATCTCTAGTTTAAGCATCTCAAAAAACAGTTGATCATTTATTGAGAGGTCAAAATCTATTTGGTCATTCTCAGGGATTCTTATTTCGTATTGATTTTTAATGTTCTCAATGGAATTTTTTACAATGGTAACATACACCGGATCCCTAAGTAAAGACACATTGAATTTCCAAAACCCATTCCCTCTTTCTGGCAAATCATTATTTATAGTCAAAAGAATCGGACTATGATCCGACCGATAACTAGATGATATATCACATTTATGTGTTAAATTAATGAAATCTTCTGTTCCAAGTATAAAGTCAAGTCTTGCCATTTGTCGCGGTTTCCTTCTCAGCCAAGTGAATTTTTTCACTTCCGGATTCAATTCTCTCCAAATGTCAAATAATTCTAATTGTTCACAGAGCTCTAGAACCTTTTTTCTTGAATTCGGATTATTAATGTGCTTATAATTGAAAGTATCCAGGTCAGTGTCTAGAACTAGATTCCAATCTCCCATAACTAATATAGAAGCATTCTCAATAATTTCGAGTCTTGCCTTGAGATCAGTATAAAAGACAGGTGAGTCAGTATTTGGTCCATAAAGTGAGACCAATGAGAATCTCCTATCTTCTATCTGAATATCTAGAATTACAAAATTACCATTTGCATCAATATCACTATTGTACACTTTATATATGAGATTTTCCCTAATAAAAATGCCTACCCCTCTGCTGTTACTTTTGTATGAACTGATAAAGGCCTTGCTTCCCCAATCTTGTTCAAATTTCATTTCAGATTGTTTTGAAGAATGTATATCCTGTAAACATAATATATCTATGCGTTTTTGCTTCAAGTAATTAAAGACATCTGCTCGTTTTACAGGATCGCAAAGCCCTTGACAGTTTACACTACAGAATTTTATCTTACCCATAATCTATGTAGTAGAAACATTGTAACTGCAACTGCTTTACTATGCTCCTTCTCATCCTTTTAATAATCGAAAAAAATTTCATCCCTCCCCTTTCCCTGTTTGTCACTGTTTTCTTTTATCTTTTATATAGTGATCTCATTGCTACATATCAGAACTATGTTATGTCACTAACCAGTGTAATCAAAGAAATATTATACAAATGCCTAAAAGAATGGTCCCTGTCCATTAGTAGGAAAGTCAATATTGCATCTCCACAATGCACCAATTCACAAAGCAAAAAAGCAAATCTTACAATGGAGTTTCTTGACATTAAACCTTTCTATACAATGCCCCATATTCACCTGAAAAAGCCTCTTAAGACTTCTACCTTAATGACCATAAGCAATATTTATAAAAAGTTCAACATCCAAATGAGACTCAGCTGGAAGCCAATGTTATCATCAATATGAGAGATGGACAGCAGCGGTTTTATCAGGTCTTTAAATGGCCGGATGCACCAAGAATGTATAGATAATGGGGAAAATACTAAATATTCAATGATAGTAGTAATATGAAATGATCAAATAATGTTGCAGTAATAATCCCTATGCTCTTGTGGTACATAATTTGAAATAATATAGGAATAGATGGTGGAGTGTCAAGATCATATGAGCAGGAAAGAGATTTGTTCAACACAGTTGTGACGTTGCTCCACTCACCCTCGGCTCCCGTTACCATAACAACCATATTTTTCTCATTTTAAAACTAAAAGTCATGACAGTTGTAGGATATATTCTTATAATGTCATTCTACATTCTGGAGCAATTTCATCTCATAACAGGTAAATCTCTTGAAATTAGAGCATTTGTATCTTTACTTTCCGGACACCCTGTAGCGTGCAGACTTTGGGCAGAAGCTGTCATTCCCGGATGCCCAAACGTCCCAGGAACAAAAAGAACACAAAGGTAATGATCTTCATTGGACACCATGGTGTAGACAAGGCATTAACATGACAAAATGTCACCACCTAGTTGCTCACAATATTATTAGTTCAATCTTAAGTCAGATTTGAATTTCTGAGATCTTGTAGATGATTTTGAAAAAAATTGGTGAAAGAAGCAAGTTAAAAATACCTTATTTGACCCTGAGAAGGTCATTGAAGGTGAAATCTCAAATCTAAAGTCAGATTTGAACTTGTGAGAACTTGAAGTTGATTTAAAAAAGATATTGGTCATTTTGAAGCAAATTGAAAAATACCTTTTTGACATTGAGAAGGTCATTGAAGGTCAAATCTTTTTTGACCTTGAGAATGTCATTGAAGGTCAAATCTTTAGTCAGAGTTGACGTTTTGAGAACTTGTAGATGATTTTTAAAAAAATCTGTCAATTTAAAGCAATTTGAAAACAGATATTTTTTACCTTTTTTTGACCTTGAAAAGGTCAATGACGGTCAAATCTTAAATATAAAGTCAGATTTGAACTTCTGAAAACTTGTAGATGGTTTTGAAAAATATTGAAGTCAGTCTAAACAGTATTTGTTAAGTTATTGGAAGTTGTAAGAATATGTTACAGACGCCTACCGCCGATCGCCAACCGCTGCCACAAAAAGCGGAGACCATAACAATATGTCACAAAAATCGTAATTTTACTAAGTTGGTCCACAAAAAAATAAAAAAGATTATTTTCCCTAGGTTTTGTAAAAGTAAGAGGTTGAAATTGTAGATTCGAAATTTTTAGTGAGGAGTTCATTAAGCTGTTTTGGAAATCGAAAAGGTATACGTATCCTACAAGTCTCTTGGGAGACTGTTCCACAAGGTGCAAGCTATTCCGGTTTCCATTTTTACTGATAGAGCCTGGTAATTTACTGAATTTTTTATTTAGCAGTTTATTGATGCGATGTCGCTAAAACTCGTTATTGTATGAATCAAGAATTAGTCGTTAATGTTCATTACAGTATTACCAACGAATGATGAAGTTTTTATGACACTACTCGTATAGACTAATTGTACTTTACATAAATGATCTTATTACTAATTTTGCAAATACAATTATGCGCAAACAAGTGAAGTGATTTTGCTGAATCTGATATACAACAATACGCAGCAATGTTTATTGCAAAAATGAATATGTATCAGTTCGTTATGTTTTCGTTCATTTCTATGTATGGACAAAATGAACTCATACATGGACTTGTGATTGAAGAGTTTGATAATGGAAATGACACTGATAAGTTAAGAGTTGAGAATGCTGATAAGGATATCCTTGACAAGAACATTGTTTTGGGCGTTTTGCTACCGAACGACACGCAGTACGATTACACGGCATGGGAGACAAATTATGCTGCAGTTACATGGGCCGTAGAGGACGCTAAAATGATGGCAGAGAAACTAAATCTGACCAAAATATCAAATTACACTATCAAGTAATTATTTTCATTTTTATAGCATAGTTTAAAAGATTTGTTTCAATGTATACAACTCACTTCTTGTATCACATTTGAACCGCTAGTTTCACCCGGTTTGTTATATCTTGTAAGTTTAATTTAAATCTTACTAATTTTTTTCTTATTTTAAACTTAATATCAAAGTGTTTATTTTGTGTTAATTTTAAATTGTTTAATTTTGATTCTTTAATTTTTTAAGAATCAAGTACCTTGACACACAGTGTGATCCCGAGAAGGCACTTGGTCCCGCAGTTCACCTGAGGCACGCAATGAAGATCGATGTGGTTATTGGACCCGCCTGCTCCCAAGGTAAGTTATGTAGAATCCGATTGGCCAATGTATAATTCAAAGTAACTTTTTGAAATTGCCAAAGTTTTGATAACAGTCCATGTCAAACCTTGTGCATTTTAGTTTTTAGATTTTTCAATACCCAGAGAGTTTTTGGATAAAACCTCAGGATCACATATAAATGAGAAAATAATGAAAATATGTCGAGCGCAATAAATCCGCCACAGCCGTTTTGTCGCATTTGTTTCTAAGTGAATTTTGTAACGTTAGAAAACTTCTCTATTCTTGATAAAAATGGGGCAACCCTTTATATTTTTGTTAAGATTTCTTATATGAGAACCATATCTTGATATATATTGAACGATACAACATAAGACTTTTCTTAAAATGAGCTTTCCTGTTGAAAACCTATTGTAATTGCTCTTATTTTGAACCTGGGAAATTGCATACTCTTCTCCAAGAAACATGAGAAACCTGCAAGATCCTTCTCCCAATTCGAATGTATAAAATTTGTCATTATAGTCGAACTATTGTACGGTCTAAAATAGAGGAGGAGATTTGAACTTCTGAGAACTTGAAGATGATTTTGAAAAAGGTCAATTTGAAGAAAGTTGAAAAAATACCGTTTTGACCTTGAGAAAATCATTGAAGGTCAACTATTTTTTTACCTTGAAAATGTCATTGAAGGTCAAATCTATATTCAGATTTGAACTTTTGAGACCTTGTAGATGATTTTTTTTAAATTGGCCAAATTGAAGCAAGTTGAAAAAAGCCCTTTTAACCTTTTTTGACCTTGAAAAGGTCATCGAAGGTCAAATCTTGATTCTAGAGTCAGATATTTTAACTTCTAAAAACTAGTAGATGATTCTGAAAAAATGGTCGATTTGAAGCAAGTTGAAAAATACCTTTTTTAACCTTTTTTGACCTTGAAAGGTCATCGAAGGTCAAATCTTAATTCTAGATTCAGATTTGAACTTCTGAAAACTTACAGATGATTTTGAAAAAAATTGAAGTCAGTCTTAACTGTATTTGTCAAGTTATTGGAAGTTTTAAGAAATTGTTACAGACGCCGATCGCAAACCACCAACCGCCGACCGCAAACGGCGATCCGCCAATCGCCGTCACAAAAATGGAGACCATAACAATATGTCACCACTATTTGATGGTGACATAATAAACTATGAATACAAATAATACGATTTTGTATTAAATCGAGTGGGAATGCTGGAGTCTTGGAGTCCAATGGGCGAACCATATGAAACAAAATGAAACCATTTTTAATTGTTTTATTTTAGTTGCAGATGGGATTACCAGCCTTGCTGCATACTGGGATTTTCCTGTGTTCTCGCATGCATCGCGTCGTCCTGATCTCGACAAGAATCCAACCCTTTCGCGAGTATCTCCTACATATACACGTGTTGGTGAGGTTTACAAAACACTGATCGAAGAGTATGAATGGACCAGCATTCATTTACTTTACACTGAGTATGATGATGATGATGAGGACGACGATGGTGAAAATAAAAGTATGTAATGGTTCTCGTGTTAACAAAACTACCTGAAACATTGATGTTCACTATTCATCCAATTTACGATATTTTAGCTGATCAACGAATGCAGTAAAATAAAGCAAAGTGAAATTCCATTCCCTAAGAGCATATTAAAAGTATTTTCGAGGCACTATGCCAAGTATTTTAGTAAAAATGCTATAATCATTAATTAAATTGAGCAAGGTAAGTATTGTGCCTTAAAAACCTAAAATAGTCGTCGAGCGTAGAATCTAATTGTATATTATGATAATCCAAGGCATTGTGCATTCAAAATGGTAGTTCTTAGCTTACTATATAATACCATCAATGACCCGTGGGTAGTTTTGCGGGTTGTTTAGCTAAAACAACACATCTGTAGAAAGATTGATAATGCTATTTCTTTAAAACACCACAGGTACGAAAAGCGGAGAAGAGCGTTACAAGTTCCAGGAATATGCATTAGACGTCATCAAGGACGAACTGGAATCGATGAATATAGAAAGAGACGACTTTTATTTCCATTCGATGCCCATTTCAAAAAGTCAATATACAGGAGATCATATTAAAAAAGCCCTGGATGTAATCAGGAAAAATGGAAGGAGTGAGTTATCTCATCAATTAGATAATCATATAGCAAATTGAATGACTTTTCCAACATGCTCCACTCCATAAAATCAAGCCACTGAATACATTAAGACTTATTAAAGGTATAATACAATTAATCGCCAATTTGCATTTTTGCACAAAAATATTTTTGAAAGAAAACTAACAATTGAACAAAAATGTCAAGAATTTACTCCCCCTAGGTCACGTTGACCTCGATTTGACCTTATTGACTCATTTTTGATGGGGTTATCGTCAATCAAAGGATTCAATATCAGGTGAATATTTAGAAAATATAAAAATGGTTATATACATATCAGTAACTCTGATGCAATGTATATGCGCAAAATATGCGAATTTCAATTTGACAATGATCCGTATTCTATTCATGTCCCAAATTTCATTACACCGTCAGCCCAAGCTTCATTTAAAACAATTGAATCTCACTATTGAGTTTAAAACAAAAGCACAAAGCGTGTCGAATAAATGGTATGATGCTTTATTAGAAAAATATACCTGCTTCCGGTTTCTAAATGTTTGGTTAATTTATATGTTGACATACATATACTAACAATAATTGCCCTTTTAATTCCAGTCGTAATTTTGTTACTAGAGGAAAAACAGGTGATTGATGTCCTGAGACGATCTCAAGAAATGGAACTCAGTCAAAAAGAGTTTTTGTTTCTTGTCACATACGAACTGGATCCCGGGGATCTGATTCGCACACCATGGTTACGCAATAATGGCACTGATGTTGAGAAGAACTTGTTTGATAATGTATTTGAAGTGTGTACATTTTGATTTGAGAGTATCTTTGTACCCCTATACTTATTATATTATTATGTTTTAATACAAAAACAGTAAGCAAAGGAACAATGGAACGTAACCAATCAAAAACAAACCAACGCAATATGCCACAGTATGATCCAACGCAACGATTTTTCCAGGAGGCATTCACAATCCAAAAAACGATTTCCTATTTACATTATTAATCATTGAAGAAATGCTATCCTTTCTGTGATTTCATTAACGAAGAAATAACAGGGAATTTAATTTTTAACACAACAGAAGAAAAAAGGTTGAAAACAACTCAAGTAAATTGTGTTAACTGATATTTTTACTTAAATCATTCGCTTTTCATTTCAGGTATCCGCCAGAGGGATGATTGAGACACACAAATGGTTTGATGGTAAAACCTCCACTGATTTCAGAAAACTCTTACCAGCCAAAATGAAAGAGAAGTATGACTATGGAACAAACAGAATAGTTAAGCATTTGTTTCAATGTGTAGTATTGATAGTAAAGCTATTGTTAAACCTCTGCTTACACGTTGGTAATATCATTAACTCAAAATATAGATTATGAAAAATATGCATTTTGGAATTTACACCAATCCGGGATGCATTTAATACCTTATGATATGCATTCTAATTTGTCAGAGTGATTGTGTTGGCATTAATTATTACCACTAATCAAATTAATATCATCAACAGTAAAGCATTTATAAATTATTTATTACAAACTTACATTTATTGCAAAACAAAACACTTTAATCAACTCCCCTGTGTTTTTTACAATATCCGTCACACATTGCACAATTGTTGACCTCTGAAGAGGTCAACCGGCAAAATTGTATACCGAGACTGAAAGATACTACTGTAAGGATACTACTGTTTACAGAGACCGAAGGTCGAAGTCAACAGTAGTTTCAAGGGTTACTGTCGAAGTATATGATTTTGTCGGTTGACCGAACTGAGAGGTCTGCAATTGTCTTGTTAGTCAGAAGAAAGTAATTGATATGGCTATGAGGATAGATAGTAACACGTCGCTTCAATTCAACAATGAACACTGCATGTATCAAGTTTGGTTGATGTTCATGTTATATTTCTCTTTGTGTCAAAATATCACATTCAACAACATAAAACAAAACGCCCGTCTGCTATGTTTTATTTCGAAAACGTAATGACGTCACATATTCCATAATTCACAAGTGAAGTACAGTCACCTACTTTTTTATGTTTTCATATGATGATATTTTTATTCCAGGGATCGATTCACTCTCTATACCTTTATGACACCGTACTTGCATACTTAACTGCTGTGAATAATGTTGTTGGAAACAATAAAAATCCTTTCAGTGGAAAAGTACTACTGAGAGAAATTGAGAAAAAAGAGTTTAAATTCATGGGTGAGCAATTTACATGTCATTTGTAATTTACAATAACACTACGTACATTATATTACCAGAAACGCTATATGATATTCGGTACTAAGTGGGGAATAATATGTTACATATAAAAATCTTAATTGTTGTTAACACAAAGTGCACATGAACGAAATGTCGAATTGTATGTTACCATTGCATGTGTAACTAGTAAGATCCCGGGAGTAAAATACATATTAACATCTGATTGAAACTGAAACTGAATAAATATTACAATTGCAATATTTGAGTATTTTGAAAAGTGATTGTACAGTCATTGTATTCTCTGTAGCATTTTGTCAAACTCCATAGCATTCTAAACTCACTAATAGTACAGCGGTAGGTGCCGTTGTTGCTGTTGTTGTTGCCATGGGCTCTACCACCTGATAGAGCCCATGTTGTTGCCTATGTTGCTTTGTTAGTCATCTTCCATATTAACAGGAAGGACTGGAGAGGTGAGATTTGATCCGATAAGCAGAGACAGACTGACTGAGTTTGTTATATGGCATAAAGACAAAGTTAGGCCTAGATATGAACAATATGCATCGGTCTATTTGGATGAACAAAAGGGAAAAATGGTAATAAATCCTTAATTCTAACAAAATGAGCCTCAAATTTGTTATTCATTTTTAGTCCTTCGTTTTTATTGCTGAATATGAACACATCCCAATCTCTTCATGCTTTTTAAGTAGTCATTTATTTCGACATTTTAACAGAATTTGAACCTTTGTCAATAATAGAACTAGTATCATTAGGTTACAATATCTGAAAACAAGATGTTTTTGAGAGAGCAAGACTCAATAAATATTTGCCATCATTATTTACTAAAAACACGTCCTACACTTCCGGTTGTGCGACATGAAGAGTATGGGTTGTGATAAAATGCATCCAATGACAACTAAATCTGTAGGATCATTCATTGTTGATATCAAAGGATTAAATGATGATATCAGTCTGGGGCCTGGGGCACAGGAAATGTCAATATTAGCAAAAATACAAAAATACAATATTATTTTTCTCGATTGCTGATAAGGGTGTGTTATGATATATCCTAACAAAATGATTATGATCAAATCCGATCATCGATGCACACAGCATTACCAGCTATTCAACCTTTACCAATGAATTGAAATTATCCCAGTTATAATAATTTGTTAAAATGGTTGCAAATTACAACACCGAGTGCAGAGATGCCAAATATGAAGTAAACCAAATTAGAATAATGAACACGTATTGTAGGTTTTCGATGAGAAGATGACGCCAAATTTCATTACGCCAGACGGCCTCCCTCCACCGACTATACCTGTGTGTGGATATGAACATGAACGCTGCAACGATTTGAAAGGTAACACAACTCGTTAACTTCATTATCAGTCAAGGAGTATTTCCCTACTGGAAAGTTTTACATACCATTTTGGCCTTGCTTGATCTAATTGTTTCAAATTATAAGTACCTAGAACACAACTGCGTACCACCAAAATTTAACACGAAAAAATTAAACTGTTCGGAGTAATAAAATTAGTTTTCAACATTTGCAATGGAACATAATATAATGCTTGTTATTGAGAATACTCAATAAAAACGACGGAACACTCTAGATGTTCACAATAAAAGTTTTAACATTATGTTACAGAAAGTGAAAAAGCTGCGATTATAGCCATGACCTTAGTGGGGTTCCTTGTGATCGCAGTAGTGGGAATTGTTTTTCTACGAAGGTAATTGTAATTATTTGTTTTGCTCATATTAACTGGTGTCTTTCGCTTATGGTTTAAGCATTGTGTTTTGTCTTTTAGGAGGCAAAAGATAGCCGCGGAACTTTTGCAGAGTTTATGGAAGATTCCCCATAATCTCATAACACCTATCCATGGCCATGGATCCAAGGTATTAATTTGCCATAAACGAAAGTAAGAAGTTATTTATCACTATTAGCCGATATCAGCCTTATTACCATATAAACTCAGACTAAAATTCAAACTACCAACAGGTGGGTATTCGTTAAAAATCAAGTCATCATGGTTCCCGAAGTCTATTTTTTTTTTTTTTTTTTAGTTATTTACTTTACTTTAATTCATTGATATGAACGTCATATACATAAATGAGTGTGCAACTTTTAAATAAAAATCTTAATTGCATCAACTAGTATACATATATTGTAGAATTCTTATGGTACTATTGACAATAGCTCTAAACATTCAATGAAAAGTACAAATATGGCAGGGATTGTAGGTCAGAGTACTCAAGGTGAAGACTTCAGAATAGGTAAATCTTTTCGATATACAGGGCATATAAAAAACGCAACAAGTAGTTATCTCGTAAAATCACAAAACTAGTGACGACTACATCAATTTCATTTAATGTACCATAAAGCCATGTCTCTCCTCTTTGCAATGATATGTCATTCATTCACATGTGGTAATGGTTGGGTGAGAAATCCTTCCATTTGCACAGTGGGTCAAAATCGGCTCTGCGCCAAGTTTTAGATATTGAAAAAATCAGTGCAAGGGCTAAGTGCCAATAGAAGTTCCCCTTACTTGAATTGTTGTGACTTTTTCTTTTGGAGCTATCTCAGGAGCATCTGTGCTCACAATTCCTCCACCAGATATTGCAAAACCTCGAGAAAGATTTGCCCATGGGCTTTTCTTTACTTTAACCCACACATGATTCAGGGCTGAACCATGCACGATGTGGACATATGAGCGTATCTTTATGTGCAAGGAAGTGGTGGCAATTTGGAGGGGTATAGGATGTATTCTTGCAAGAGCATGAGTATGAACACTTTACTGTCTATGCCATACCTGTCACACCTTCTTCCAATAGCCCCTATGCCCCTTGTACTGACTTTTGCAATGTTTTAAACTTGGGTCCGAGCTGAATTTTGCCCCACTTTGCAAAATTAATGATTATTCGGCCAGAGATGACCCTGTGAATGATGATATGATATTCCATTGCAAAGAAGAGTAATTTGGCTTTTTGGTACATTGGATTAAAATGATGCAGTCAGCATTGATTTTATGTTTTCGTCCAATATTGCATCGGCCTCCGTACACTGACTTTTGCAATGTTTATAACTTGGCCCGAAGCTAATTTTGGCCCACTTTGCAAATGGAATGATTACTCACCCAACCATGACCAAATATCAATGAATGATATATCATTTTAAAGAGGAGACACATGGCTTTATGGTGCATTGAATGAAATCAATGCTGTTATCACTGGTTTTGTGCTTTTCCAAGATAACAATCTGTTGCGTTTTTTTGATACGCACTGTATCATCGATGTATCAAAGGAAACTCAATTAAAATGAAGACAACAAAACAAAGATACAGAACTTTGTGAGAATGTACAGGGTGGGCCAAAAAAAGTTCACCCTTTTTCATTTTAATCTAATTTTCTTATTTTTGATGCAATGCCTCTAAAAATTGATATGTATATAGCTCAGACATTTCTGTACATGTTGTTAGGATTTGAGTGAAATTTATGCAACAGTGTTGTCATGACACCTAAAATATATTTATGGTGTGTCATGAAAAAAAACCCAGAAATTCACTTCATTTACAAAATGGCGGATTTCAAAAAAGGAGGGAAATTTGAAAAGAAGTTATCATGGTAAATATAATTTTTATGTCAGTTAATGCAAAATATTACAAAGTAGAGTGTTAATTAATAGTCAGAGTTGATGATAAATGGTATGATATATGATACATGTATTACCAGAGATAAATGTATTTAACGGCAGTGTACACATGAATATATACAAACATTATATCTGTAGCATTCAGTCAATGATATCATTTATTTAATCAAATATCATTTTGGCGTATATCGTAGGTGTTTACAAGGGATACACTGTGTATCTGAAACCCATGAATCTGACGACTTTGCTGTCATTGACCAAAAAGGACTACCAAGAAATGAAACATGTAAGTGTAAATGTAAGTTTAAATCAATCTCGCAACTGTTTATATATTCTAGTTGATAATTTCAGGCAATTTGGTGGAAGTTTTAATTCGGGAGATTTACTTGTCAAATAATTGAATAACATGGTTTTGCAAGACATCTGACATACCATATGAGTCCTAAGCAAATGTCCAGAATCTCCTCCCCCATGCAATGACCTATTTGGAAGTGCCCGATTAAACTGAATTACGTAATCTAGTTAAGTGCCGATGACGTATACATCTGTTATCAATGATCAAGGGGAGATCTCCCAAAGTCCACTGTTGGTATTGGGAAAGGCGGTATCCATATATGGCTTATAGGACAATATAGTAATCCAACTTACTGTTATCCGCAATTTTGAATCGTGATAGATTTTCATATGAGGCTTGTAAGAGCATGTAGAGGAAGCTAAGGGGAAACCCCGGCCCCATACAAATAAATACCAAAGAGTTATGGGAGCTACTCACTTCTGACAATGATTAAGAAGAATTGGCTCTCAGGATCGAAACTTCCAACAATGATAACTTCGAAATTTCGTTATTTAATGAAATTATAACCGACTATTAATTAAGAATAAACAGTCCAAAAGATTCGAAGCAATATCTCGATCAATTCTTGTGAGTTTTGTAACGAAAGTGGTAATCAAGAGAGTATTTGTGTTTGTTATCTCTAAGCTCCGAGGTTTTCCATCCTCTTATTGATCCAGGTTAGCAGATTCTAAGCACCTTTGGAATCATAGCAATTAGAAAAAACTACCATATGTATTTGAAATATTTTGTTGATTTTCAGATGAAGGATATGAACCATGATAACATCAACACTTTCTTTGGATTAACAGTGGGTCCCAAAAGCGCCGCAGTTGTTAGTTTTTATTGTAGTAAAGGCAGTTTGGAGGTATTATTTAAATTATCAATTTCGGAATTAAACAATGTTAATGGTAAACGTTATAATAGACAGTTTATGTTACTCCATATGATAATATTTATACACAAGTGTCAAAGGGAAAGGAACACAAAGTGTTAAAGACCAACGCAAAAAGAGACATATCAAATAGTACACCAGTCATAAGGAAAACAAACCCCATCTATCCAAAACTATTATCTAATATGAGAAGAGCAATGTCTCATACCCTCTCCCCCACTTTTCAAGTTTAATTATCACAATCCAAGACCAAAGGAAAAATGGACACGTCAATCATACTCGAGTGATTACATTACATCTTGAAAAATAAAAAGGATAACCAATACTCATATCAAAATAGTCGTGGATCATCATCCTTTTTGGTTGTTGTGGTAAAAAAATATTAGTAAGAAAACCGAAAAAGATCTGCTTAAAGAGGAGCAGAATATCTTCACATTGATATTACTAGATTTTGACGTAAAACCGTATTTCAAAACTATTTCAAAAATAAAGTTGTACTTGAGAAAATATTTTGACGCTGGACAATGGAAACTCGACATCTTGCGGCTGATTTTTCTCATGAGATTCATGGAATTCTGCTTCCATATTTGAACGTAAACAGAACATGTAACATTATGCAAATGTAGAATTCTTTTTTTCTTTTTCTTTTAGGATATAATAAACAACGTTGATATCAAACTGGACTTTATGTTCAAACATTCGATGCTTTGTGATCTGGTAGAGGTATGATTGGTGTTTTTAATAAAAAATATGAGCTCGTTTAGTATTTGAAGTTAGATATATTATCAACTCTATATACTGAACAAAATTATATTTTTAACATTACTGTGAAATAAAAGATAATTTGTTTATTGCACTGATAAGTAAGGTTCGATTCAGTGAGAACTGCACATATCGGTGGTAAAACGTATTTACATTTGGATTGTTTTTAATAGGGTATGCTGTATCTTCATAACTCGCCATTGATGTCTCATGGTAGTCTCAAAAGCAGCAACTGTTTGATTGACGGCCGATGGCAACTGAAGATATCAGACTATGGCCTCTGCAAAGTACGCCATGATGTACGACTGAATGCGGGAGAGGATTCTCATTACTATGGTTGTGTTTTAAGTTCATTCAAAATCGTTTAGTGTTCGAAATAAATTATTGTTTATATTCAACCAGAATTCGAGAACTCTGTTATTAAATAAAATAAATCCCTTTTGACACTCTTGACAAATACTGTTACTGTTCTAGCCAAGCTTTGGACAGCTCCTGAATTTTTAAGAATGCCCAATCACCCATTACATGGAACTAAAACTGGAGATGTGTATAGTTTTGCAATCATACTACACGAGTTGATTCTACGAGAGGCCCCTTATTTCAATTTCGACTGCTCCTCCAAAGGTATTTATAATCAAAAAGTCACCACAAAAACACGGATGCTAAATCATTTGTTAGATCCTTTGTGGTTCACGTCCGTCAAAATTGAAATGATGCCCAATGGAACATTTGGAGAGCACCGATGCTTTTCGACCGGCGATGGCCGAGCGAAATATCGATTCTCCTTCTTTAAATTCTTTAAATTGGAGACACAAAAACATACATATCACCCTCGCTTTATTTTCCGATAAATGAAGCTGTTTTCGTTGTTGTCTAGAAATTGTGAAAAGAGTCGCCCGTTCAGAGAACCCTCCCCTTCGCCCTCTATTATCAGAAGATACGCAAATGGATGGCGACATCAAGGACCTGATTTATGACTCCTGGCAGGAAAATCCAGATTTCAGGCCAAGTGTTCAACAACTTCAGAAACGTGTGGTGAAGATGAACAAAGGAAAGTAAGTTCATCAATTTTAAATAGTAAGTCAGTTGTGTGCGCGTATTACTACTTTTAGTAACTGGGATGTTTGGTTTATTTATTTCTCAAAAAGAAAATAGTATTTACGCTAATTTTGTTAAGGAGGGTGAATATTGTGGACAGAATGTTGGTCAAAATGGAAGCGTATGCCAACAATCTCGAAGAAATTGTTGAACAACGAACATCCCAACTCGTTGAAGAAAAGAAAAAGACGGATAAACTGCTATATAGGATGTTACCTGCGTAAGTAGTTGTACAGATCATAATTCTGTAATCATCATATGTTTGACACGACATATATTTAGCCAGGTACTCTATATACACAATTACTGCCAAAGTATGTATGATTGAGCCCCATTCAAAAGATATTTGCTTATTTACAGGGTAATAGCTGACGAACTGAAACAGGGAAAGACGGTGGTGCCAGAAATTGTAGACATGTGTACAGTTTTCTTCAGTGACATCGTGGGATTCACATCGTTATCATCTAGAAGTACACCAATTCAAATTGTACAATTTCTGAATGATTTGTATTCAATGTTTGACGAAATTATAGAATTGTACGACGTCTACAAGGTGCAGTATATATTGTTTAGAAATAAAATAATAAAATTACGGGAATGGTTGTATATAATCTTATATCTTATATCCAGAAATAATATGTTACTGGGTATTTTCAATTCTAATTGAAAATGTAAAATTGGAAAAGGTTTAGCTTAACCGAAGCCTATCTGAAAATTTTGGTTAACTCTATTGTGCTTTAGTCTTTGCATGAACTTTTTAAGGAGCTACAAGCACATTGTAGCGCAGCGATATTTGACATATTCCCGAGAATATTTCTTGGTTTCTGGCATACTTGTCAGCATACTTCTGCTGGAAGTGAACAAATATCGTGAAAATATTAATAATGAATTAAATTGTATCATTTTATGGCACCATGATTTTCTTGAAAACAATTTCATGGAGTTTATGCAGTTCTGAGAGAGGGTAAAATGCTAACTGAATGGTAGTACTTTCTCGTAAATATCTTGATGGGAAATCCTTGAAAATATGCATTCTCTTTGGCACTTTCTCAAGCTCCCTCTTTCCATTTTCTGATTGACCTGTCAATTTTGTATACAGCATGTTACCAACATTTAATGAAATTATTAGAGTAAGTATAGATATAAAGGTCAGTATATGTTTTATATAAATACACACTGTACACTTGGCACCTTTTGAGGTGGATCCCGGCTATGGCATTAATGGTTGAGAAAACCAGCCATAGTTTTCTCCTGGTGACCATTGTGAATTGTTGTGTTTTATGGATTATGATGACGGCTTTGCGAACGGATGTTGACCCTTTGAATTGCCTATGGACTTCGAGACTGGATTTTATCTATCCCACATCATTTGAGACTGAATACTCTATCTTTTATGAGTACTAGTATCTACAACTATTTTTGATGTTATGAGTATTGGCTATCAATTTTTTCAATTTTTCTTCAACATGTATTGTAATGACTTTAGTATGAATGAAATGTCCCTTGGTGTTCTGGTCCTGGATTGTGATATTGGTTCTCGATTGGAGGGGGGTGTTAGACATTGTTTCTTTTCACGTTAGATTATGGTTTTGGGATATATAGGGTCTACTTTTCTTATGTCAGATTTACACTTACAGTTTGCTTTTCTTGTTGGGTTTCTTTAAAGTTTTTAGTCACCCTTCCCTTTGGCATTTGTGCTTATACATTTAGTTATTCAATGTAATTCAATGTTCTGTAATATTCGACTGTAATTTAGGTTGAGACAATTGGTGATGCTTACATGGTAGTCAGTGGGATACCAGTGAGAAATGGAGAACGTCATATTGTTGAGATTGCAAATATGTCTTTACATCTACTCAGCTCCATCCTAAAGTTCAAGATCGCTCATGTGCCTGACAAACGAATTCAAGCTAGAATAGGACTCAACTCTGGTCCGTGTGCCGCAGGTAAGCTATAGCGTTCGCATTATGAGAATCAGGCAATGTCATTCTGTTGTCATTTTCATATAATTTTCTGTAAACACTAATGTTGAACACTAATTGTGTACATAATGTCACAATAACATTAACTTACTATAAACTGAAATTAAATGAGAGTATTGTAGGGACTTTGTATGGTGAGACCACGTCTTGGTTGTTCTTAACCAAACTATTTCTATATGTATGTCTATTGGACAACTCGTTAAAGTATTATATTTACCATTAATTACTAAATAGCTGAAATTTTCTTTGTCATAGGTGTTGTTGGTCATACAATGCCACGATATTGTCTGTTTGGAGACACAGTCAACATGGCGTCTAGGATGGAGTCTACAGGACTACGTAATATACTTAACATATAAGGCTCTTTAGTTACATTATCAGAAACGTTCAACACATTTGCTAGAACAAATATAACATTTGCCCCTTTCTTCTAACTAATGACTTATATAGTGTATTGTTTTATATCCCACATTTTTGATTTTTCGACATTGCAGCAAATAAAATACAATTGAGTCCAGGTGCTCTCAAGGAACTCAAAAATAATTCAGGGTATACAACAGTGAAAAGAGGGGCAATAGAAGTTAAGGTAAGGCACACTGTAAATATATCAGTGCAGAGAGGGGCAATAGAAGTAGGGATTGGTCATAGTGTAAATGGAACAGTGGGAAGATGGGCCAGAGAAGTAAATGTAGATCAAATGGGAAATCAATATAACAGTGGGAAGAGGGACATTGTGCTTATATGTACAAAAATCATGGGTTTTGAAACGAAGTCTATGTTCCCGACATGAATGTTTGAATTTGTTATTCTTTTAGGGTAAAGGGAAAGTTGTTACATATTGGCTTGAGGGACACGTGGATTTTCACAGACCTTTGCCGACATTTACACAAGAAGAGTTGGAAACGTAAGTTGTGATAAAATGACTAATATGGTGCACTGTTTATCATAATGACTACTTATGGTCCAATGTCATTTCAAAATATGGTTTAAACAAGAATGCCTGCATGCACAGGGGTTATACTTCCCCGAACACTAAAATGCCCATATGTGATGACAATATAAAGAACAAAATCTTTGCCAAGTTACAGTTACTTGACTGCGATTGGAATTAAAACATCTGGAGAAAATTCGGCATGTCATTATCCTAATGTACAGAGAAGTCAGATTGCAATGAAGTTATAATAAAGTCAACTCAGACGAAGGAGATTTTGTATTTTTCTACTGTTTATTATTTATTATCAAAAATCAATTCATTTTGTCCATGAAGAGTATTACTGTTGACGACTACACGTCCCCCTTTCATTATTTTGTTTTGTGATAATGTAGTTTTATACAACATTTTAGGCATATTGTGAAAATGAGGAAATCACCAATGGAACTACTACACATAGAAGATATTGACCCAGGCAATTCAGATACATGTGATAAATGAAATGTCGCCTACGATCTCGGTTCGAAAGAATGTACATACAATCATGATAGTGTATTATATCTTTTGGACGATATTTTGAGTGTGTAATGATATTTAATCTAAACTATTTCTCATTATGTAAGTCTGTACCTTTGAACTCATCTGAGTCTGGTAAATAAGGAATGAGATTGTAACTTGGTGGTTATTGTATTGATGCTTTGAAATAGAATTGCATTTGAATTGATTTAACTGAGTGTAATCCTGATTTGAAGCAGAAGAGAAAAACGACAATAACTGAATAAACCCAACCAGAGTGGCGCCCATCAGGTATACACGGTTCAACCATTGTATGTGTATGTGGTGTATGAACTTTTTAAAATAAAAAATTACGTATCACATTTTAAATTGGAAAGACTACAATATAAGCCACACTGGTTTAAACTGTGTATAGGCCCTTTAAACAAAAATGGCTTTATACAGTATATTACGATCGCCGGAGTTAACGACATGATGTGTGGAACTATTACTTTATTTACAGTTATCTCTAGAAAAATATAAGGATGCCGTATTTACTTCGATTTCAATTTGTAACTCGAATGTAAAAATCAAACCGATGTTGATATTTTACTGTGTAGTAGTCGTCCATAAAGTGAAAAGAAGTAAAAACTGTGTTAAAATTGCAATGGTTACATACAGGAACTGTCCTACAGGTGATGAGCTTGAGCTTGAACTTGTTTGTTCATCTCCATTCACTGGAGTCGAACCACATGCAACTAAAGACATTAAATCTATTCAAACTAATCGTTAGGCCCTAGGTGCATGACTCAACAAATGGTGGTTATACCAGTATAGCTTCCTAGTCAACTCGTACCCAAGACAACTCGTACCCAAGACAACTTGTACCCAAGACAACTCGTACCCAAGTCAACTCGTACCCAAGACAACTCGTACCCACATTTATTTTCTGTATTATGGGTGCATATAAGAAAACAAATTGAGTCTGTGTCAAAATGTTTAATGTTATAATTGGATTATATTTGAACACATGCATGCAAAGTGTATTATATCATGTATGAATAAGTATCAAAATAATATTTGATATTCATATTATTTAGAATATTTTTATTGCTTAATTTTATGAAGGTGACTTCTTAGAATTATCATTCTTTAATCTGATAATATGAAATCCTAAATAGATTATCTGTTTAATAAGAAATAGGCGCAAGTTTTGAAAATCTTTATATTTTTGATAATACCATATTTCAAGATGAATTAGATCTGATACTTGTTCCAAACACTCATTAACATACAAAAATACCACTAATATTGTGAACAATGATTATGAATATGTGGAATAAACATAAATCTCTTCCCTCGAACATCCAATATATTTGGTCACAAATTTCAATCGATTTCTTCCAAAAACTCTTCTACATACTTCAAACTATTCTGAACTGTATGTAACCATTATAATATGTATATCTATACCCATTCCCAGCCCAACACTTGATTCAAAACAAAACATATACTTGGGTACAAGTTGTCTTGGGTACGAGTTGTCTTGGGTACGACTTGACTTGGATACGAGTTGTCTTGGGTACGAGTTGACCAGTTACCCCAGTATATACTGGACTCAGAACTCAAAATACAAATCAAAGAAACACAAATTATAGCCTAAAGAAAGCAAACGGAACAATGTCTTAAAAACAAAACAACAATCACCTCTAAAGAAACTGGGAATAGTCAAGTCATAACGCATGCTATAACGAAATTTTCTTGCATTTTTGGTGGACATTAAGAAATTACCATGTCGCTCTCTCTGCGATAAGCGCGGAAGGAAATTTCGCCCAGTATGTTGTAGTTTTGTACAAGTGTGAATATGAAGACAACCACCATCGTGTACATGTACCGGTACTGTATGTATATCGACAATCAACGTTGAAATAACAAACCAGAAATTCATGCAGTGTAATCATCCAATGGCTATATAGAATTCCTTAGAATCGTAATTTATAAAGAAGTCTAACTTCTTTTTTGCTCCTGCTTAACAACGAACTGAACAACGAACTGAACAACTGAACAAAGAAAACATGACATCCACTGACAGTTGGGATATATTCTCATTTTTTTGGATTCTTTTTCATATTAATCAAATTTAAATGCCAAAAATGCAACAAATAATGCGTAAAGTTACAGAGAGATAAAGTCTCAAAATACAGTGCGTATAAAAAAAACGCAACAGATTGTTATATCGGAAAAGCACAAAACCAGTGATATAATAGCATTGATTTCATTCAATGCACCATAAAGCCATGTGTCTCCTCTTTACAATGATATATCATTCAAGGTCATGGTTGGGCGAGTAATCATTCCTTTTGCAAAGTGGGCCAAAATTAGCTTGGGGCCAAGTTATAAACATCGCAAAAGTCAGTGTTCGGAGCCCGATGCAATATTGGAAGAAAACATAAAACCAATGCTGACTGCATCCTTTCATTCAATGTACCAAAAAGCCAAATTAGTCCTCTTTACAATGGAATATCATTCATTCACAGGGAGTCATCTCTGGCCGAATAATCTTTAATTTTGCAAAATGGGGCAAAATTCAGCTCGGACACAATTTTTAAACATTGCAAAAGTCAGTACAAGGGGCATACGAGCTATTGGAAGAAGGTGTGGCAGTTCGGGCATAGACAGTAAAGTGCTCATACTCATACTCTTGCAAGAATACATCCTATACCCCTCCAAATTGCCGCCACTTCCTTGCACATGAAGATGCGCTCATCTGTCCACGTCATGCATGGTTCAGCCCTGAGTCATCTCTGGGTTAAAGCAGAGAAAAGCAGCCCATGGGCAATTCTTACTCGAGGTTTTGCAATATCTGGTGGAGAAATTGTGAGCACAGATGCTCCTGAGATAGCTCCAAAAGACAAAGTCACAACATTTCAAGTTAGGGGAACTTCCATTGGCACTTAGCCCTTGCACGGATTTTTTCAATATCTAAAACTTGGTACAGAGCCGATTTTGACCCACTGTGCAAATGGAAGGATTTCTCACCCAACCATTACTACATGTGAATGAATGACATATCATTGCAAAGAGGAGAGACGTGGCTTTATGGTGAATTGAATGAAATTGATGTAGTCATCACTAGTTTTGGTATTTTACGAGATATCTATTTGTTGCATTTTTTTGATACGCCCTGTATATAATTCGTCGTTGATCAAGAGAATCGAGCGTTTTGTAATTGTTGTTAGAAAATGTATAAACTTTAAACATGAGGAATATTTTTCTTGCTAATGATACTCTAGTTTTAACATTGCATGTCTCTGAATCCCCTTTTGGTGGGGGCAACTCCAATCCATCGTCATGTCATATCAGGATTTTTATCTGTATGCGAAGCTGCATTCTTCCCAGCGTTACAATCTATGGTCTGCCCATGTTTCAATGGTACAAAATCGCTTAATCTCCCTAAGGGGAACCGGTGTAAAAGGGTAGGTGGTCCTATCAATATTTGGCCGTACTCTCTATCGATTTATATGGTGACCTAATTACAATTATTTTCCTTATTATTTATACACAGCCAGGGCCAGTAAGGGCCGTAAGGAAAGGGGACCATAATTCCTAGGGGACCATAATTTCTTTTACACCGGGATAAAGAAAAAATGGATAACGATTGGTCTTGGATGAAGAATCCTATAAATGGTACTCTTCCGGCTGTACCGTACCCCTGGGTTTGTAAGAGTTGTGCGAAAAATTCTGATGGTGTAAGGTGATTCAGACTTTGGTTGTATAATTCTACCAAAATGTCCCATCCCGGTGTCAAGGCGACGGTTGGGCGAACTGGTAATAGAACGAGTATGGCGGCTGGAAAATAAAAAATCAGCATTTCCGTATTCTTATTCTTTCAAAAAGTTTGCTTTTTGCTTCTACATATGTCTAGTAAACAGACGCTGACACAAGTTGGCATCCTATTAGGATATTTTCTAAATAGCAGAAAAAGCAATGAAATCTAGTTCTGCCATCTTTTATTCAGCTTTTAATTTTGGCTAGAGTTCCATTCACTTACATGCTAAATTCTTGGAAAAGTGACTTAATTTCACGATTTATCAAAGAGTGTTAGTTGAATCTGTATAGAACTTGAATGATACACCACATGATGACCCTGTTTATGTACGTGTTGTGATTAAACATGCAAATGTTGGTTGACATACAAATAATCCAAGGTTTTAAAGAATTTTAGCATTACATCTATCGAGATTTAGCCCAAGTTTTTTTAAATTGTCATAGAAAATTTTTCAAATTACATAACTGTGTAAATCAAAGGTATTATAGGAGAAAACATTTCACTTAATTCAAATACAGTACTCCATTTGAAAGAAGGTAATGTAAGTCATTGAGGTTTAATATGCAAATCTCTTAAAATCTCACGAAAAACTAGATTTAGCGAGATTTCAAAAGCTATATGGAAACTATACTATTGGCCCTCATTATTTAATCCGAGATGTATACGGGATGAAATTCTTTTCACTTTTAATTCTGATGACAAATGGATTGATTTTCGCATTTAAAAGTCTAATCTTATAAATGGTCTTTCCCTAAGGATTCAAAACAAAACAATTAATAAAAAGTTTATACGATTGACACGTTTTGCTAAACTACAATATTATTCATAATCCATGAATCCTGTATGGAAACTAAAATTACATGGCAGGTTGGCTTCAAAAATAGCTAACATAATCGGCTTTAAATGTGTTGGGTTACTTTGGGATTGCTTCGTGACAGGAAGACGTGTTGACCACATTTAAGAGGAGGGGGCATTCCAGAATTCATAGAGAACCTTCTCTGTATACAGATGAACTTAAAGAGAATTTCAGTGATGTGTTGATCTATGAATTTAGGGATATTCCCTATTTGTTATAGATGTAAGGTCAGCCATTTCGATCACCAAATATATACATGTATGTCTATTCCCAACACTAGAAGTGCATATTCTAAGCATTCCCTACTATCAATCAACCACCTATCTATAGGTAAAGATTCCACTGATACTACCATTATGATTAATGTAAACATGATAGCAAAATATTGGTTGGTATTACCAGGACTTATCTCTGTCATTGTTGGTCTCTATGGACAGACCTGGAATGAAAGAGATCAGTGACAAGCATATCTGATAAGTACAATCATCATATTATTGTATTTGGAAAGGTCAACAATGGATCATACATCACTGCAGGGTAGAGTTTTGGCATTAAAATACCAAAGGAACTAAGTGAAATAGTGCTAGGATACATTACAGAAAGCGGCAGTTAAACCCAATATGTATAACGTGTTAAGGATATATTTTTATAATAAGATGAGACCCAAGCAAAAAATAGAAATATATTGTAATCCTTTATGGTTATTAGTATAATGATCTCTTATTATTAAATAAAACAAGACTTCAACGTGGTTCCAAAATATACATTGTGCTCATAATATGACCATTTATTCATAAACTGATTATGAAGAGCCTCTTCAAACCCCAAAGTGTTTCTCAAATATTTGAATTCTACTTTAAGATTTTATATTCAATTTATTGCAAACACAAATATGTATCAGATGACAGCCCTGAGTTGCTCTATGTACCTGAGATTTACTATAATCATACGCGCATAGTACTTATAAACAGATTGAATTTGGACCACTTGATCAGCCAATAATAATCGGATTTGCCATGGTCATTGTTTGAAAGGTGACATTTCATTAAACGATCTCACACGTTTGACAGAAGCTGGAACAGACAAAAGCGGACAAATTCAGGTAAGACTAACTTATCTTATTTAACGTTTGATAAAATACATACCTTTTGATTGATTTTAATCATCAAAGTTCTTGTTTATATTTCTTTATTTTGCGAACTGCAAATTACTCACAATTTTCAAATCAAATCCATTGGGCTATTTTTTCCAAATTGCTGATTTATTCTGTCTTTTTGAATCATAATGCTTGAATGTTTCCAGAGATGGCAGTGTCGGTAACAGTCATTTTATTAATGTTGGTATATTCCCTATCGGCCTACCCAACCGGTGCCCCAGTTGCAAAATGTGGGGACATGACCCCAGGTCATGGTACCAAAAACGACATTACAAATTCACCATATACAGTCACAGCATCGAGGACAACCTTCAAAGCGGGTGACTCAATGACAGTGACCGTCTCAGGAACAGGTGGGGCCACGTTCAAGGGCTTTTTCTTGCAGGCAAGATTAAATGGTACTATCATTGGGTCATTCTCCAACTTGTCGCCAACGAATAGCACGAAGACAATAACGTGTGCAACTGCTAATGATGCAGCCACACACGCAGATAGGACTATCAAGAACACCATAACTGCGACTTGGACAGCTCCACGTGGTTTACTCAGTACAACCGGGAATATGGTATTTGTGTAAGTGAACTGCATCGTTTTAAATCTCAAGTCTTGACTGTTACTACAAGCATAGTATTTTTTAAATAAAAATGAATGAAAATGGGCATACTTGGTAGTGCTTGGGCTGCACTATACTATTTATGCCTCACATATACATGTATCTCATTTCACTTTCAGGAGCACTGTTGTAACAGACTTTGACACAGTTTGGATCCAAGTGCCTTCGACTGCCCTAACGTATGAAGCTGATGGCACAGGTCAGTACATTTTGCAAAGATTTAAGGCAGACATAAAGATCGCAGTACGATACGATAGTAATTCATATGTTGATCTGCTCTTCCCTCCTTTATGAACATTATTTCTATTTTCCTAAGCCTATATGACATTTTGTATGCTTGCCTTTTCGCGTTCTGTCCGTCCTATCATATGTAAAAATAGAGAAACTCCATAGGTCCCACACGGTGCTAATATTGCTCTATATCCCACTTACATATTTTAACAAAACACTTTTATGGGGGCATTTATATTTCAATCGTAAATTATTTTGCAAAGGGTGTGATCAATGTTTCAAAAGCAATGCAGTCTCTATTCCTCCTTGCAAAATGTAAAGTTAGCCCTGGCAAGTAATGCAGAATTAACCCTTGCAAGAAATGTGAAATATGCACACTTGTTATATGCTGATAATATATCAATCACTACCTGAGGGCCAGGAATATGTTAAAAATGTTTAAAAAGTCCCCTAGTGTACTGAGTTGGTAATGTGTGGTGTATACATGTATATTAATAGATTTGATTAATTTTACTATATTACTTACATTGAATAAGAATAAGACTGATTTTTTTATTAATGACTGTATACCCGGGCCTCAGATCACTACCCTATACGTACTTTAGAGGCACATGCATTCTGATACTCATCACATCTTTCTGTCTTAAAGGGGAAATATGCATACTCATGATTTAACATGATGCTGTAGCAAGGTGGTACAGTGGGTACACGTGTAGTGTGTATGTTTTTTTAACAGGCGACTCTGTATTAAATCTAACAAGTTTGTTGTTTCAGGAGGCGCTGGTAACATTGCGGGAATGGGGAGTATTGTTCTAACGTTGCTGTCAGCTCTTCTGGTACAGCTGATAAATTAGAGGACGCTAAATTAGAGGACACGCCATATAGGAGCTTTGACAATTTTTACATTTTTAAAATGCCCAAACAAAACATTAGTTTATATAAAGTATTGGAATCATGATAAAATCATTCACACGAATTGCAAGCCGTACTTCATATTATAGATCAGGACAATCCAGTCTAATCCACTGATCATGTCGGGAGGCTAAAAGTAGTACAGTCTAATCCGGTTTAGGTTGAGGAAATTAAATGCATTGACTCGTATGGTTTATATATTAAGTCTAATTTGCCCATGGTTTAACTTTGGAATAAATACGAACTACACTGTATAAGAGAAATAAAGCATTGTATTTTGTAAATTTTGTGTACAAGGGTACGACAAGTGTATTCAATTTAATTTAAGGTGCCATGGAAGTTAACAGGAAATGACAAAACAGGAAGCATGCTATTTTTCATGAAAACATTAAGAAAACACACAATTTTTTTCTCAAATGTTTCCTTATGCGAAAGAAAATAATCTATTTCATGCAATGGGTATATTATTTGCGGATAACATTCACTGCTCTTTGAAGTCAAACAACGCTAAGAGTAAAAGCTATTGAAAACGGCGCCAGAGTATCACACCCTAAAATGTGCCATTTCTTTTTTTACTTTTTAATGGCACGATATAGTTAAATTATAATATTAACATATGTTTTCAGAATAACTCTGAAGGTTTTAATAAGATCTATATGTATTTGGTCTTTTTGATTTTTTCTATGTAAATAATATTTCATTTTTTGTCCAGCTTGGGGCAGCAGTTTTAAAGGTGAAATACAAAACTGCTCCTCCCAATCGGGACAAAGAAATTAAACATTATTTTTTATAGGAAAAATTAAAAAGACCAAATACATCTAGATTTTGTGGTAATTATTGTCGAAAATAATACATTGAAATAGACTTTAATAAAAAAAAATCGGTTATGAATATAATTCAATAAATCCATTCAAACTGGGAGTATGTGTCAGTTGAACATCTTATTTCAAAAACTATGACATCGCGAAATGTATATACGATGTCCTCAAACTGAACATTGCTCAAATCCTCTATGAGGCCCGGGTCATTACTGTCATTAATAAAAAATCAGTCTTATTCTTATCCATGTAAGTAATCTAGTAAAATCTATTAATCTATTAATATACATGTATACACCACGCATTAACATCTCAGTACACTCAGTGGACTTTTTAAACATTTTTAACGTATTCCTAGGCCTCAGCTCAAATCATTGTTCCTTTGCTATACCATAAATGTATATGGGTCTTATATGGTATTATATTGTAGCTTGTAAATAGACACCGGTCAAATAGTTTTATACATGCTCATACTATAGCATTCTGTGCCTTGTATGTAAAATAGGCTATTTATAAATCTGGTCAGAACTGTGTATGTATGATCACGATGATTGCATGCTGAATTACAAATGCGTATATAGTATTAGCACGTGGATTGTACTACTGTGTGTTATTAGTTCAAGCAAGGACATTGCGGTGTGTTATATATTTACTTTTTATATATTGACCGTTGTATATCGGCTGTTTAGGAAAAGTGTACCTGTGTATTGTAGAATATATCACAAAAAGGTGTTTATTGATTTCTGTTATTGTTGAGGATATTTCATTCGTGTAGTAGAATCTAGAGACTATTTACAACGTTTGGTAAGTTTTTCATTATACAAATTCGTATCGTGCACTCATTGTCAATTGCAGTTTTGTGTAATCATTAAGGTTCAGCTGGAAAGTAACATTTTGTAAAAAATTGCTATACCTGCACATGTTATTTTCTGGTACAAAATTAAGTATGAAGTCATGCGTGTATTTCCTTGCTTTTTTCAGGAAAGTATCATTACACTGTCTACTTTTAGTAAACCTGGAAATAGGCCAATGGTAGCTCCTGTGTTGTCTGGAAACTTTGAAAGAAAATTTGGAAAAATAGAAAGTGTGAAATATCAGAATTTTATGGAGTTCCCATTGAACTCCTACCAGATATTCTAAAAGAAGACAATGTAATGATACTTTCCTGAAAAAAGCAAGGAAATTGACATATGCCTTCATACTTAATTTTGTACCAGAAAATAACATGTGCAGGTATAGCAATTTTTTACCAAAATGTTACTTTCCAGCTGAACCTTAACCTGATATATTAGAGAGTCTATATTCTAACAACATTCTTAAGGTATAGCCTCTTATTCAGCTGTCAAATTTTATATAATTGACAGAATTTCAAAAGGAAATTCTTCATGATGTTCAACTTGGGAGGAAGAATAATAGAACTGGAATAGAAGCCCAAAATCCAACTGCACTTTGACTGTTCAGCGTTAAGGCATGGGCTTTCAATTCTAGTTGAAAGCCCATGGTTAAGGTTCAGCTGGAAAGAAACATTTTGGGAAAAAATTCCTATACCTGCCCATGTTATTTTCTGGTACAAAATTAAGTATGAAGTCATGTGTGTATTTCCTTGCTTTTTTCAGGAAAGTATCATTGCATTGTTTACTTTTAGGATATCTGGAAACAGGTCGGTGGTAGCTCCTGTGTTGTCTGGAAACTTTGAAAGAAAATTTGGAAAAATAGAAAGTGTGAAATATCAGAATTTCCTGGAGTTCCCATTGAACTCCTACCAGATATTATAAAAGAAGACAATGTAATGATACTTTCCTGAAAAAAGCAAGGAAATTGACATATGCCTTCATACTTAATTTTGTACCAGAAAATAACATGTGCAGGTATAGCAATTTTTTACCAAAATGTTACTTTCCAGCTGAACCTTAACCTGATATATTAGAGAGTCTATATTCTAACAACATTCTAAAGGTATAGCCTCTTATTCAGCTGTCTAATTTTATATAATTGACAGAATTTCTAAAGGAAATTCTTCATAATGTTCAACTTGGGAGGAAGAATAATAGAACTGGATCAGAAGCCCAAATCCAACTGCACTTTGACTGTTCAGCGTTAAGGCATGGGCTTTCAATTCTAGTTGAAAGCCCATGGTTAAGGTAACGCTAAGGTTAATCAAAAGTACAAAAAATGGCAGCCATAGTCTTCTACATGGTCTACATATGTCAGGTTTGCACAAAGATTGTGCTAATATATACATAGATTATGAGATGAGGGCTAGTAAATATGTAGGTATATAAACGAGAAGAAAATTCAGTGCCCTACATTTTTGTACGTTCTTAATTTTTGACATACGTTATAGAAATCGCTATGGAAATGAATTGTATGTACCTGTAAATTACGTGGAACTTCAATTAGGAAACCATTTCTTGCAGCAACATGAGGAACATAGTTATCTACTCTGTGATGAGCGTGATATTGTTCAGTAATGAGGTAACAGGATACACAAGCGGTGCACCAGCGTCTCAGTGTACAATGATGACGCCGGGACATTACCCATCGACTTCTAATGACATTTCTGGTACACCTTATACGATTACTCCCTCAAGTTCGACATACACTCCAGGGGCATCTATGACCATTACATTAGCTGGATCGCAAACATACAAAGGATTCTTCATTCAGGCGAGGGCACCAGGCTCCGACACACCTCTGGGAACATTCTCCAACCCATCGACCAGTACAAAACTTCAGACTTGCCCTGGAGGGACCAACAATGCTGTTACACATTCAGATGGAACGACGAAGTCTACTAGCACAATGACGTGGGCTGCTCCTGGGGATCTTACTGGAGATGTGCAGTTTATGTAAGTTGAAGTGGATCGCATAGTCTCGTGTATTTTGAATGGGATTCCATTGCCCTTTGTATTACTTGAATCATATTGAGATTCATTTAATTTTAACTATGGCAAATAGCTTGTTAGATATTTTCTTTTGAGATATGTCTACATATTGTAGATTGATATAATGATGATATACACCATTTCATTTCATATCAATCGTTTCTAAATGTTAAAGTAATGATTGTAGAGGTAACGATCGACAGGGGCTTGCTATAGCAATTCCAAAACAGCTGTACGATGTGATTGAAATGAGAAATTGTACAAAATATAACCATGTGAAACATTTTCAAAATTGTAGTTGGCTATCAAAAGTTTGTTACTCCATTTAACATTGTCGCCTTGGTATCATGATTTTATTGCTATTAGCACCTAATAAGAGTTATGAGATGCTCAAATTATATATAACCTCCTAAGACTTGGAAGCCATCTTGGATTAGAATCATAAAAAAATAAAAAATAATGTTCCTCTTAAGAAGCAAAGAGAAATACCGAATTCGACGTGCTTTTAGTTGTGAGTAACTAATGGTAATTTATAAGCTGTAACTATATATTCTTCAACTGAGTACCCTTTAGAAGTGTATACTTGAACCTTAACACGCACGGTTGTGAAATTCTGGTTACGAAACGGATCAGTTTCTGTAACAAAATGACGCTGATTCAGGCGTCTTGTGAACTATATATTCATTCGCAAAGGCTTAGATTTTCTTAAACATATCATGACACACATTTGTGCCAAAAAGGTGGAGAAGATTCTGCCTACATCTCGTGAAATCATGAAAAGAGAAAAATTGCACCATTTCGTTATCGAAACGTCTCCGTTTTTTGAAGAGTTTCACTATATGCTCAGTTGGCTCCTGAAAACATGTAACGTGGAGTCCACACACACATGGTATTCATCTGTTCAATATTGTTCGCAAATTTGTTGGACACCCAATATCTAACAAACCATAAAGCAGATCTACAGATAAACACAAGTGTTACAAACTGTGATTGTTACATTATCTATTTGCAGAACTACATTTGTGACTCAGTATAACTCAATATGGGTTAAAGTTCCATCTGCTATCCTGACTAGTAAGTATATGTCCTTGCAGAAATCCTCTAAGTAGACGAATAAATATAATATAATCAAATGATAATGTAATTCAAATTAATATATTAATTGATATGAGTTGGATTACAAATAATTTCTAATTTATATTTCCGTAAAATGTTCATCTGATATGTTTACAATCAAGCAGTCAATGCCTGTATATGTCATGAAGAATAAGAAAGACAATGACTCTAGGTGTAACCTTTAATTTGCTTTGCTATCACGCCTATTCAAATTGTGATTTGATACGGTAAGTTGTTCATACTGTTCATATTTGCAATCGGCGGGTTGAGAGGGGAGAATACGATTTCGAGATATAATCTTATCAAACATGTTTAATATTTAGGTTGGGCCTAGACAAGTTTCCACTTTCTGGAAATATTAATAAACAAAATAAAAAGTCGCTAGATGGCAAAAGGGTTTTCTGACTGCTAAATACTAGGGCAAGAATTTGACGTACAGGGCAAATATATGGGTTTAGCTCCACTTTTTCAGAAAACTTCGATATTCTGTGCCAGATAGATTCTTTTAGATGCCATACTTTATCATGACACTTTGCATACTTCATATGTTTATAGAAGGTACAACAGTGGCCACTAATACAACCATTGCTCCCGCTAATAATGCTACGGAAACTACGGAGAGTATGACAGATCCTACTGGAACCACTGCTACAACTCCAACCTCATATGGAATACAAGTTCGTCCATCTTTCCAACTAATGAGTGGAATCTTATGTGCATTTGGTGCACTGCGAATGGCAATATGTTAAGATGTTTAATGTCAACTTTTTAATCTGACTGTACATTCCTCAGTGTAATTAAGGACAGACTATCTAGAGTTTTACACTAAACTAAGTGACTGCGGATAATATCATGTAATAATGCTGCGAAACGCACAAAAAACATGGGTACATTACCATTTCTGCATCATTCAGTATATTTTTTAAAATATGTACCGTCTTTAAGGAAGGTACAGCTTTTATGTAGCTGCAGGTAGTGCTGTTTCTACAAAACAGATTCTGTAACTTTAATTTATCATTTTGTGTCACCCAGTAAAATTTCATCAATCTGCAGGTACATATAACATGCAGGTTTTATCATATGCAGCTCGGATACCGAATAGTACTGTTGACCATTTGGTACTATATGTACATGTAGGGTACAATTTATTAAGCTATTTACTTCTTCATAAACATTACAAGTTGTCAATAAAGATGGGGTCGAATGGATTTCAAAGATTTTGGAAGTCATTTTCTGACCTCGTTCTCTTTTTATTGTTTTATTGTTATTGTTTAACCGTTTGAATTAAAAACAATTGATTGTTAATATTGCAGCATGGTAAAACATTTACTTCGATTTTAAAGAAAAATATATTGAGTATATGGAGTTCTAAATTTTGGTTCAAGTTTATTTTCAATTTTCGGCGATCCAGATTTTGAAGTTTGGAAATTAATCAATATGAAAATCAATTTGTAAACCAAATGTATCTTCTACGGGTTTTAAGAACTCAACATGTCATCGAAAAAATGAATGACGTTTAATTAACGTATGCTTTTTAAGTTCCCCCGGTACTTTCTTCTCATACTTCTGTTGAATTGACAATTAAAAAAGCCTTTAAGTGAGTCAAAACTGTGCAAAATAAATTTCTATAGATATAAATGTCTATATAACTAGGATGGACCTGATTGATGACGGTGCGAGTCTAGAGGCACTTTGTTCAAATAATCTGCAGTTTTTCAACTGAAACGTACTTAATTTGATTTATGCGCTAGTTTAGCCTTTTACTACAGAGTTTTCAACTTGTTTCGGGCTAAGGTTAACAGCCTTTGCAGAAAGAATACTTACAGAAAGCTGTCTTGGAGAGTTAGAAAACTGAAGATTGAATAAGCGGCTTAACTCATTCGATTGTTACAAGAAGGTAAGGTTCGTACATCTACTTGAACTAAATATATTTTTGAATTATTTTGTTTCTCTAATGCCTTGGTCACATATGCTCCGATCCATCGGCCGACGCCCGGCCGATTGAGTGTTTTGTTCAATATTGTATTCAATTTTGAACAAAATACTCAAACGGGCGGGCGCCGTAGTGAAAATCGGAGCAAATGTGACCAAGGCATTAGCAATGAATAGATAAGTAGAGAATGTAAAATTCAACACCTAGGAATAATATTAGATGAACAATTATTTTCACTTATCCCATTTGGCAGACTTATGGAACGGCCAGAATTACTGCACTAGTGATATTTTCACAAAGCTGGACAATATCCTCATTGATTGAAAAAAGGTATTGCTTCAAATTTTGCTATGTCCAATCGTTTTTGATGTTCACATCCTGCAGTTATATTTTAACTTTGTCAATTAATTTTGGAGGTCATAGAACATCTAAAAACGGTGATGATATTTTGCAAATTTAAAAGTCCTCTAGCTGAGCCAATCCTATATGGATGTTACCCGGCTGTTATTTTTTGATTTATTGTTACAAGTTTATCCGAATCTCGAGTTATAGCGGAGTTAAACAGGGGTGAGCAAAACAAAAGAAATTGATGGCATTCACATGGATATACTCTCTTTATAAGTAACTTAACACTTTGCCACAATGAAGATATATTATATGATCATACACTTATTGATTTATTTTGGCTATGGTCAGGTCAATCGATTTGAGTATATGAAAGTAACTGAGGATGTATGGATGATTAATGAGGATCGTTTCGCTTTTCCACAGATAAATAATGCTACCAATGATCAGATATCATTTAGTTCTTTAGATTGTAAAACTCAAAGTTGGGATATATTTTTGGATTTTCTGTTGTTGTCTGTTTCTCCGAAGCAACTTTTTAATTAACATACATATTAATCGACTTAAAATTATACTGGCTTGGACAAATATGCGCGATTTGTTTTTAAAGGAATAACTCGAGATTTCGAGAAGTAAAAAAACACCCTCGAGCACTTAAAAACATTAAAAAGTCCATAAACAGTGTGCGACAAACATTCTCATACCCCATTAAAAGGTCAAAAATCAGTATGCAGAATTAACAAATGTGCACTATTCGCGAATTTACTGACTCATTAAATGTTGTCAAAATAACAACGTTGAAATAAATCAAAACATTTTTTTTACTTTGTTTTATTCAACATTCATCGCCTTTATTTCTTTAAATAGATGGAGTATATCGAGCCCTACGATGATGATGTCAAGCCTATTAGTGAACCACTCGCGTCAAGCTACATTAATGTGATATCGGAGAAAGAGGAGCTCGACGCTGAAACGTTCTTGCAACATCTGCAAAAGCAAAAAGAGAATGACAACGATGCGTTTGTGTTCCTGGATTCGGAGGGCAACCGTCGAGATGTCCTTACGTTCAGAGGTTGGAATGAGTCTTCCCAAGATATGGCAGTGTCACTGTTGTCCATTGGTGTAAAGAGTGGTGATTTCGTTGGTATCATTTCACCAAATTGTCGTGAATTGATTATCACCTTCGGGGCCCTCCTCCACATCAATGCAATACCAGTTTTACTAACATTTGACCTGAAGAGCGGTAAAGATGTGGCAAAGAAAATCAGAGATTGCAATATCAAAACGGTAATGGTGGAAATGTGTGGGGATTCCAAGAAACGGGAAATTGTCGATGAGCTGTTTGGGAAGGTTTTACGAGGTGAACGTGATGAAACGATGCCCGATCTAAAACATGTTCTAATTGTTGCCGAAAATGTACCACCGGGAGCTATCGATGTCGCCACATTAATGAAAGAAAAGTCCGAATCGGAGAGGCAAACAGTTCAAGGTTTAGCAGATTGCGTCACTAAAGATTCTCCAGTATTTGTCTTATTGACGTCTGGAAGCACGGGAGATCCTAAATATTGCCTGGTACCTCACAGGGCTCACATCAACATATCTAAGAATATCAAAGAAAGATCACGACTGACAGAGGGTAAGAGATACTTCAATGATCGTCCTTTTAGCTGGGCTGGTGGTGTGACCGCCATTTCGTCAGCATTGGTAGGACCCTGTACTGTCGTCACAATTGATGCAAGATATACGGTCGCAAAGAGTAGTGCAGAAATGGTTTTAAAGATATTGGAGCAAGAAACTATTTCTCATGCTGTTGTTCTTCCCTATCTCATGTATGACATCGACAAGTTGGAGCGTGCAAATTGTCATCTTCCGTCATGGGAATGTACATTTACCGGGGGCCAAAGAGTTGACGCTGATATGGTCGAACGATACAAAGTTAAAACAAAAACTGGTGTAATGACTATTTATGGCGCAACCGAATGCGGATTTGCAAGTAGTCTTTTCCCATTTGCTAGCTTTACAAAGCAGTATGGCACCGTCGGGTACCCTTTCCCTCACAATGAAATCAGTATTCGAGATATCAATAGCAACGACGTTCTCCCTAGTAACACACAAGGAGAAATATGTGTCCGTGGTCCTTTGGTATTTCTTGGCTACTTAAACAACAAAGAAGCCACACGAGAAGCTTTACAAGAGGACGGGTGGTATCATACTGGTGACATAGGCTCTCTCACTCCATACGGTTACATTATCGTTGCTGGCAGACTGAAAGAGTTTATAAAGCGTGGAACTACCATTTTACAACCGCTCGAAATAGAGAGAGTCCTTTTAGAACATCCAGGTATTCACCAAGTCCAAGCCGTCGGCGTTCCTGATCCTAGATTATTTGAAGAGGTCTGTGCTTGCATCCTGCCAGAATCTGGGATGACGTTAACCATAGACGACATAAAGGCCTGGTGTGATGGTTTGTATGATTCCAAAGTCAGTGCTGATGGCTTGGGAAGTAGACCAAAGTATTTCATCATCCTGGAAGAGTTCCCTCTGTTGTCGAACGGGAAAGTCGACAGAGTTACTTTAAAGATGAACGCAGCAAAGTCGTTGGGCCTCGATTGAGATAATATCAACAACCTTCTCCAAACCATAGAGAGAATATATCAAATTCAAACCTGACGTATACTAGAATATAATCGTGAAATTAGAATTTGTTGATATATATTTATTTAATAAGCCCACATACAAATGACGCGTGCGAGGCAAAATGAAAGGTATTTACAATATATAAGAAATTCAATTGAACGATAATAACAATAGCCATCATTAAATAATCAAATTATATCAACTGGAATAAACCCTATATCAATTAATACTGATTAGTTTTGTGTTATAATTAAATATATGTGTAGATAAATATCAGGACGGATGGCCTGTCGTTGCAAACTTCAAAGAAAACATTAATTATATCTAGAATAGGTTTGATTCCCAAAAATCAAGATGTTACATTTCGATAAGATTTAGAATGCGTTGAGATTGAGGTTTGATGGAGGGGTTCAAGCAGCATAGGTATTTTGCGTGCACTTCAGCATTCTTGCTTAAAGGTGCAATAATTAGTGCAGAGGGGTCATTCAACGATCATGGACCAGTGTCAAAATATATTTAAGTTTGGATATTTCATCAAGACTAACATCTATTTTTATTATCTACAAAGAAACCCCCTAGATAAACATTATTTTAGCTGATATTCCTCTTGAAACATGGTGGATCTTAAAAATATAAAAGTGGAAGTCCCCTTTTTGAAGCTTTGAACTGAATTTACACTTCTTAATGCTGAAATTGATAATTTATCCATACATTTTAAGAAAATAGGTATGTCAAAGAAGATGTTAAACCAAATGTTGCCTTGATAGCTCAGAAAAAATGAAAAAACTTTCCTATTTTCTCTACAGTCTTTATTGCCCCTTTAAATCCAAGATGCTGTTGAATGAAAACTTAGTGTTGAAAAATGAGTTGTTTTACAAAAGATGGCGTATTGGTCTTTTCCATCACTTCATCTTGCGATCTTAAATAACCATGCTTCGTTTTTTCCACAAGAAAGATACAAAGAAGAGTATAATAATCATGAATTGTTCCGATATCAGAAGCTCAAAGTACGAAAAGGGGCTTAACTTCGCGTAATCCACTAACACTTTCCAGTTGATGAACGCGTCTAAGATTTTATAACTAAATTTTATAGGAAATCGGATCAAAATATAAAACCTACGAAAAGATCAGAAATATGAGACAACTGTAAAATTTCAAGAATGTCATAAGCTCGAAACAACCTGATAATTATTAGATTAAAGAAAAGTGATCGAGATTACGCTGTGTCAAAAGTTTTGTAAAAACCAGGTCCCTCTACATGTAATAAGAAGAAAATGTTCATGATTCACTCAGAAGTTATATCGAGGGCTGCGAAGATCATCTGCATCACGTGTGTTGTTTCAGTACAAGTCCCAGGCCGTCCTAGGTGGAACCTCCTCTCGTAATAAGGTCTGCATTTCAAATATTGTGAACGGAAGTGAATAAATCTTGACTAACAAGAATCGTAAAGGTTCTTGTCAGAAGATGACATTACACGTAAAGATCCTATTACGTTTGCTTCGGGCACTTAGATTGCAATATCAATTAGAGATAAGAACATTTTTGATTGTACGCAAAAATGATTGTCTTAAATATCCAGTAAATGAAGTTATTTCAGGAAACTATTACTCAGTATTACGCTCTTTCAGCAGAAAATTCCCCTAAAATTAACTGATTAATTAACTCATGGTAAATAAAATAGTTGTCATTTACAAAAGCGCTAATAATATAATAAATTTTGAAATTTCTTCACACTATTACAATGTGGGATCACGTTGAAATCATTAAATCAAAAGTAAATTATGACATATAAGTTTCATCTGACCAACGTGCTGCTTTGAGTGTGGAAACACCCTAGATCTGTCAGTAACGATACCTTTGACTTACTCATGATATTATTTTTAGCTACTCATGAATATATGAAGTCAAATTCATAAATCATAAGATATCATCTATTTGCAGTCGATACGAATTTGACGTATGCATGTCTTTCAATTAATGTGTTAAACTAGGCCTACTGGCTATTGTATGACAATATTCTTGGGATATCAATTTCTTATCGTTTTGGAGAAACATGTTCGGTAAAATGTATTAACTGATTACTTATCTCATGTTATCAATGTACATGACTAGAATCCGTTACACAGCTCTCCTTATAGTATATTGGCTTGTCCTCGGAAATGAGCAGTATTGTCAAGAAACAATTAAAGTCGGAAATAGGATCATGATTCCATGAAAGGAAATTGATAGGTTCAATGAAGGGTTGTGTAGAGAATAGGTGTTATCTCACGATTTTCCGTAAGTTCTAATTTGCATTGATTCATCTAAAGACAAGGCAATGTCGCACCATATGGTTCCGTGGTGTCCCTGTGTATTCTAAGCATCGACCAAATTCTATTTACACTTTTCTTGTGACTTTTAATTCGGTTCTTTGGCATGTAAAATAGTTGTCCCTAAGAAGCATTGAGAGTTCGTCGCAGTGCCAATGACACGACGCGCAAGAATTTACAAGACCTTGTTTTCGGTGGTCCCAAATCCCAAAATACACTAAAGTTAACATATTATGTCCCTACTAATTACAAATATTTTAGGAAAGGCACGATGGACCTCATTCCGTCACCTTTTATAAACATGCATTACAGTCCCTTCAAGATTTTTTTTAGTTTACTATATCTGACTCATATATTTTTTTTTAGATAAAGACGTACTGGTGTAATTTTGTTAGATGACGTATGAATCTCAAATTCATTGAAATGGAAAATACAAAAAAAAGAAAGCCAACTGAATTATTTGAATCAGACTGAGGGGAAGAAATATTTACCATCAGCAGAATGCCAGAATCATTATCTTCCGATCAGTCAAAGCAATGGTTCCACTTCCCGAAAGGATAGTGTTTATTGGCCATTTGTAGTAACAGCTCTCGGATACCATGACAACATTATTTGCTAGACTGACAATGACATTGTTCTTCATTTCTTTATTTCTTATTTTTCCACTGATGTCAACATTAGTTTCGCCAGCAATGCTAAAATAATTGGAACGATAGGAGGGGCCTCGTGTCACAGGGACCAGGATCCCAAGTATTATTCTAATAACCATTTTCCTTTTTACATTTTGATAAATCTTGACTCCGTCATTCTAAAAATGAATTCCGCAAGTACATTATTCACGGCGTACAGATACAAAAAATACATTTTTATCTGAATCATATCCTGAATCACGATTGTTTTACCAGACTTTCGTCGAAAGATATGCAAAATACGTCAAACAGCATGTATATGTTAAAAAATATTTCTGAGGTTTTTCTAGCTCTCAACACATTTATATTAATAATCTTAAATCTTTATGTTTTTACTTTTTGTTTGATTAATTCTATGAAATGTCAAATGCATGTGAAAAATAAGATTAAAACAACTTTTCTGCGGTGTACAAGCCAATGGGAACCAAAACAGAAATTTGAATATAGGGATAATCTGATTTTATAGAGCTTATCAAAGAATCATCACAAATTTAGAGTAAAAGCGAAGTGAAGCACATGGGAAGAGTCATTTCTATACAGAAATGAGAGCAACTCATATTGTTTGGACGTAGACGAGATGATTTTCTCAATAGGTCTATCAGAATCAATATCTTAAAGCAAAGTCTCTGATTCCAAATGAAGCAAAGTATATACCAGCTTAGTTTCACATGACTAGTGCAGCACCTTGTCGTAGAATTTGTTACAGGCGCTTGTGGTATTGGACATATATTAGTTGTCAAACAAAAGGCGATTATTACATCATGAAGTAAACGATGCTTAATTGAGGTCCCCGGTGCGACAACATTAACGTAAACGGTAAGTCGTTATTACAATAAATAAAAAACAGCATAAAACAACGGTCATTTTTAAGTTTTTTAAGTTTTAATGCGATGTTTATCAGTTTTTGTTCATTATTAGTTTATATTTACTATATAGGCGATGATTTAATGCAAAATGGATTGCCCTAAGTTGATCCTTGTCCTAGATGCTACATACACGGTGGTTTTGCCTCTTGATAGACTAGGTATACAGCCGTAGTTTAATTGAGTGTTAAGATCCATGTTTTAGATCAATGTACATTCATGAAAAACAGACCTTTAAGGGTTATATACCACCTTTAAATATTCTCTGTATTCGGTAAAGCCAAACATGGATTTGGCTATAAGTTTTTTGATGGTGCATGGAATAGAAAATATGAACATTTGATGGAATCACTTCTGCAATGGCATCTTGTTCTTAAATAATATTTATAAATATCAAGTGTTTACACAAGGGATCTAAAAATGAAAAATTCAGTTATTAAGACAAATTTCGAAGAAAACAATTTTACAATGTTCTTATCCTGCTTCTTACAATACAAGATTGACATGTTCTATTGTTCTACAGATTACAGTCACACCTATGGTGTTTAAACTGCTTCTTTATTCGGTACATTAAATATTCCATAAATACCAAATAAAACAAACAATTTACCAAACCTTTACCCAATCTATCGAATGTTTTTTTATTTTATCGAATGTAATAATCTATACAAACTTATATTCGCTAAATAGTTTCACTTGTTCTTTGTGTTGGCATTCACATTTGATATTTATACACAGTGTACATGTATTTGTGTGATGCAGCGAATCTATTTGTTTTCCTTAACGCACGTATAATTCAATTAATTTTTTGTACATTCGGTATTTAAATTAGTTATATTCGGTAAATACCGAATGCCACATTCGATAAATTTCGTTATTTTTCGATACTTTACGAGACTTTCAGTCACGTGATATATTTGAACGATGTAGAATAGCTGCGCGGCCATTTTGCAAATCTCGAGGTCACGTGACAAAATATCGAATAACAACGAAAGATATCGAATATTACTTTATTGCATTCGGTAAATAGCAAATTAGCTTTCGGTAAAATGCATTAACTATGTCATAGAAAATAAGCCATTTGGTAAATATAGGCAAACTTATTTCGGTAGGGTTCATATAGAAATTCAATATTGTGCATATAATGTGTTACTT